GGGGGATCGACAATCGCGCGGGAAAGAAACGATCCGGATGCCCCCCCGTCCCTCGCGCGGGAACCGCTGGCGCGCGCCCCGGCGCCGGCTTTCCCCGGGGGCCGCCCCCGAACACCGCCCCCCTCCCCTTCCAAAGCTGTCAGCGCGCGCTTTTCAACCGTCCTCTCGGGGAGCGCGCGCGCCGCTTCCCTCCTCCGCACGCCCCCGCCAAGCACGGGAGGGGGCGTGGTCCGTGCTTCCTTTATCGGGCAGCTTCTCTGGCGGTGTCTTCGGACAATGCGAGTTCTCTTGAGGGGGAAAGGTCTGAGTTAAAGCCCCCCCTCCCTTTAAAAGCATCTTACCATAGGAGTGCTTAGAAGTATCACCCCACCCCTTCCCTCTTGCCCGAGAAGGAGAAAATTAGCCATGCCTGAGCCATCCCTGACTTTTTCGAAGTAGAGTCATCTTGTCCAAATGTCCATATGCATCTTTGGACCCTCTTTGCCTTCCTCCTACCCTTACCTTTACCAGTCCCCACTCCTGAAGAAAAATTGGGGGCGTTGTTTCTTCATAGTATAGCCTTCTTGGAGGCCTGCCTTATGATAAGGCAAAATCTAAATACTTGAAATCAAGAAGTGTAATATATCTTACTCCCTGTGTCAAGTGCCACAGGATTTGATGGAGATGCCCCACCTCACAGAGTTGTTGCTATGAGGAAAATAGGAGGAGGGAACATTATGAGCTGTACAGAATAAAAGGTGGGATATAAATCAAATCAATAAATACAAATCTCTCTAATACATGAGACTGTTCCTTCTATACCTGGCCAAAGTCTTCTCTCACAGTGGAAGACAAAAGCCTTAGCTGCACTGCTTCCTCCTTCAGTGGCACAACCAAGTGTGCCTATCAAGGATAAGACAAGGCTACCAGCTTTCTCCCTTGCTTGGCTCTGTGATCTGATCTTCCACTAAATGCATGCCTAACAGCCTCCTGCAAATTGTTGGGGCCAATAGACCCAACTGCTCTCTGACTGCAATATTCACTAAATGTGTGTAGAGGGTATTCTTTGGAAAGGACTTGCATCTAAATTACATGAATTAGATTGCTTGTTTCTAAGCTTGTTACACTTAAAAATGCAACTATTGTTCATGCTTTCAACCATCCTGATATTTTCCTTTTTTAACATATACACATACATATGTGCTTGAGTGGGTGAGCTGGGGTAACCAAAAATAAGAGGTGAACTAACATAGCCCTGTGTTTGCAGAGTTGATCCATGTCTGTGACCAAAATATGGAGCTAGTCTCAAGAGTCACATTTTGTGAGATGGGCAACTATATAAATTGGATGGATGGATGGATGGATGGATGGTGGGTGAATAGATAGATAGAAAGAAAGAAAGAAAGAAAGAAAGAAAGAAAGAAAGAAAGAAAGAAAGAAAGAAAAATAAACCTATTTTCTATTCCCCCCACCCACTGAAATGCACGGTTCCAGGTTTGGATGAAATACTGGAGGGCCAGGGAGTTGGTTAAGGCTTTTTACAAAGTTTCAAATATATACATGCTAACAATTTTTAAAAAATCTATTCACAAATAATTGAATGCTTTGCTTATCAGCTTTCTATACATTTCTTTACTGTAAATACCCATAAGTCTGATAAAATAGATATAGTTAAGACCAATTCAGGAGGTGTACCTTTATTAACCCCTTCATGGTAAATCTGTACCTTCCAAATGTTAATTTGCATGCAGCTTCTAAGATACAGAATTCCTATTTTGTATTTGGGCTACCTGCCCCACCCCCCAAATAATTCCAGTATTTACAAAGTTGGAATCCACATTTGGTGGCTACTGAACACACTCATTGGACTTTTTTTTGGTTTTGACAGGGAGGTGAATTGTAGTTCCACAAATCTTAGCATTTCCCCAAGGTGCTGATACCTTTTATGTGCACAGGTTGGTTCACTTTAACCATATAAATAGGGTCACTGACAACTGAACGTTTGAAATAATGTTTCTTCTGTGCTGTTACCCCCACCCTATGGAATATTCTCCCCCCAGAGGTGAGGCAGGCCCCC